TAAAAAAAAAAAAAAAAAAAAGGAGGAACGAGACATGTAGCTGAGAAACTGGGCTCAGACCTGACTGGCTGTGTGATCCTCACTTTATCTGAGAAATACACAATTGGGTCTCTGTGTACACAATTAGGCTTGGGATTTAGCTCAGTGGCACCATAGCTTCCCCACAAGTGCAAGGTCCTGAGTTCTATCCCTGGTAGCCCCCCAAAACAAAACAAAACAAAGACCAAACAAAGAGCAAGTCATCTACTCCTTAGAGGCAGGCTGAGCCACTGGACTGAGAGGAAGGAAGGGGACTTGCCCAGGTCCAGCTGTATCAGTCCAGGAGCTAAGCTTGCTTCTCTGCAGCAACATTATAAGCTATATTCTCCAATGTCAACCATATTCACAACAGAGATGTTATTTTCCATCTGCGGAGTCGTTTCTCTTATTTCTTAAGCGGTTCCAGATTTGGGTTGGGAATGGGAGGATTAGTTAGGGGCCCTTGAGAATTCACAGCATGATTGCAAATGAAGAACTTCAAAAGTTACAAAAAAAAAAGTTTTTTTTAAAGAAGTAATACTGTGCTTCCTGTCTACATTTGATCTTCAGACCCCAGGTACTGAGTTCTCCTTGGGAGCAATCACTAAGACCAACTTCATTATACTCGAAGTTTCCTTAAGTATTTTGGCCTGCTACTTTTATTCCCTTCCATCAATTATTTATTCATGTTCCATTAGTATATTGCTTTACTTACTAAAAGAGATATTTTTAGTTAGCTGTTAGAACTAGCCTCTCCATATTACTTGGATTTATTATGAATTGATTTTTATGAATTTATTTAGATTTTAAAAATTTATTATTTACATAAGAACTTTATAATAAGCTTGCCTAGAAAAGCAAATCTTACTGATATTTGAAATGGGTCATCAGTATGATTATCCATTGAATTTGGGGTAAGTTAATGTTTGAATTATTCTTGCTTCTCACACAAGTTTGTTATGCATATCCCTTGTGCTATAGGAAGAAGATAAAAACCCATATTTGAGGAGTGCTGTATAAAATGTGAATTTTGTATTTGAGTAAATGTCTGATCCTGACTTCTGGAAAAAGTGTCAGGGATAGAATAGCAACGATGAAGAAGGAGCCAACACTTTTGGAGAGTTCGTCTTTATTTAAAACTCTTGGTAGATTGCTCTTTTGGTTGACTCCTCCCTAGTGGATCAGCGCTATGGGGCAGTACATCTGGTACATGGAGTTCGGTCCCACACACTCATGAAGGGTACAAGGAAGCCCTCAAGGGCTATCAACTATTAGTTTGGGTGGGGAGGGTGAGCATTCTTCTTCAACTGGGATGATGGGTGATCACTGGTTTTCAAAACTTCTGGATAACGTTGTCTGTTCTCACCATAATTTCAAATGGGCTCTAGTTCCGAGTTTGTAAAAAAAAAAAAGAACGAAAAACAGGAACAAGACCTGTAGATGGAGATGAGAAACTGGGCTCAGACCCGACTGGCTGTGTGATCCTCACTTTATCTGTGCATACACAACTGGGTCTGTGTGTGCAGAATGGTTTGCAGTCGAGTGATTGCTCTTTTCTTCTGAGGGTTTGAAAGTCATGCTGGCATAGACAAGGGACTCCTTCTGTATGGATGAATGCTTCAGAGGGAGAGAAAGGAGAAATGAATGAATTCAGTTCACAGAGAAAACGTGTCTCTAGATGCAACCTGAAAGCGAGACCAGGAGAAATCTTTTTTAAAAAATTACTTGCTCAGAGTGCAGAAAACAATATATTATTCTAGTCAGTAATGCAGAATAAAGAAGGAAATGCCCATGGTGGTGGCCTTCCAGTACTTGGAAACAATGTGGTGCTCTTACCCTGACAGCAGGATCTGGGTGAGGATCCTGAGTCTGGGGACTAGAATGACCTGAAACAATGCCAGAGAGAAGAGGGATAAGTCTCACCAACGGGTCCTCGGAGAGAAGGGAGTCTTTTCCTTCAACTTTGGGTTGGGCTTGGAGGTGGTGGGATGGTGGTGAGAGGCAGGGAGTAAAGGAAGGGAAGGGATCTGGATCGCAGTCTACAGAGCATGTAGGGCATGCAGGCTTCTTCTCGTTTCCTCCTGTCAGTCCCTCCTGGATATCTCTGCCTCACTGGTAGAGAGGTAAGGCTGTCCCATTCCTCAGAAAACACTTACGTTTTCTGCAGCACTTTACGATGAAGAAGATAAGGGCTACCAGCAGCAATGTCAGTAAAACCCCAGCAAAAAAAGCCAAGATCAAGTGTTCCTTGCTGTGGGCAGAGAGAGGGAGCAGATGAGCTGCTGGGACTTTCGAAGGCCTTTCCTAGAAGCCAAATGTAGCCTTTCCTATCTGTGGGGAAGCCACTGAGAGTGCTCACATTGGTTAGTGGACTCTCATTCCCATGCACTGGTTGCTGTTTGCTTTCGAGTTCTAGATCCATTTGAACCCTCAGTGGAGCTGTGGACTCTCTCCCACCCCCAATACACATTTTACAAACTTAGGGGATTCGCAATGTCCTGAAGCTTGGGGATAAGAACTACCCTCCAAAGGGCAAGCACTGGTTTAGTTTTCTACTGTTTCTGGCCCCTTCTCTGCAGAATTGCCTCCCCAAGTTCCAGAGTGAAAGCTGTCAATATGAAATCAAACGCTGTGTGGTGCAGGATGAACGAGATGGTATATCCTCATTTACTTGGGGTAACTTCTGGTCATTGGGGCCGCCGTGGAGGCATCTGCAAGAAAATGTGGATGAGATCAGTGAATCTGCCACTTCTCATGCTACCCTTCCAGCAAAGGGTCCCAGGCACCTTCCCCACCCAAATAATCGATGAAGATCAGTAACAGGGCTGCAACTCCTCATGGTGAGACACAGGGGTCCTTTAAAATGAAGATGCCTATGAATTTTTTTTTTGAGAGAGAGAGAGAGAGAGAGAGAGAGAGAGAGAGAGAGGGTACCACTATGTAGTTCAAGCTGGCCTTGAATTCACTTTGTAGCCCAGGCTGGCCTCAAACTCACAGCAATCCTCCTGCCTCAGCCTCCCAAGTGTTGGGGTTACAGGCGTGTACCACCATGCCCAGTTTCTACTGAATCTTAATCAGATACACAAATCAAACACCCATTGTTCCACAGAGCGGTGTGTCTCCTAGATAAAGAAAACATAGCCCGTGTCTCCTTCTGAAAAACTCTAGCATGAAGCTCTGGGACATGTGTTTCTTCTGACCCACGGGAACTCTCCAGGCCAGGAAGTCAGAACCCATAGTGAGGCCAGAGCTTTGACTTTGAAAACCACCTCTTCCTTTTGCTAGTTTGTTTATAGGGTGACTATTAACAGTGCCTGACCAAAAGCAGCCATGATGCTTCTCCTAATGCCTAGAGTGTCAAAAAGGGAGCAAGAAGAGAAGCAAATGGATTTTCCTAAACACCTCAGCTGGTCTACTCAAATTCAGAGAGCCAGGCAGTTCTTTTCTGGCTCCTCTTTTCATTGCTTGTGGCATTAGACTCTATAATTATGGCAAAATCGGATTCTTCCAACTTCAGAAATGCATTGGCCAATCCATCCCCGTTATAGCCCTTCAGCCCAATTAATTTTTCTTTCAGCTCATTTTAACTTAGAAAGGAAGCAGTAACAGCTCCTATTCGGAACTCACCAATTTTGGGTTTAGGTGTGGAGGAAACATCTCCCATGCTGTCTTCGCCTAACAACAACAACAACAACAACAACAAAGGTTCCTCTCAGAAAGCTTGGAAAGGAAGAGGCAGTTGAGGGGCCACCTCTAAGACTGGTAGTAATATAAAAGCAGTAACAATAACAGAGAGGCAAGTCATGGGTGTTCAAGTACCATCTCTGATCAGAGACTTTCCCTGTGAAATTGCTGCAGCTCAGCAGCCAGTCCTCAGCTGTGGATGTTCAGAAATTTTATCTTATCAGGGCACTAAAAATTGAATGATTTCTGCAGAACCTGATGCCCACCAACCAACTCACAGCAGAATGATGTATAAACCAGAATGGCACAAGGGACGTGGTACATCCTATCTATTGGAATGTGCAAGAATATCAAAAGTATAATTTTGCTTGGTAAGCACTGAACGGAAGTAAATATGAGAGAAGATGAATGAGTAATTTTAATATTAAGTGCCATTCCAGTCTGATGCTTCCTCCTTGCCTTTCCCTGGAAGTGTTCGGTAAACTTTGACAAAGTTGATCCGGGAGGTCTTTCCTTTAGTCTCCATCAGATACTTCTGTTCACACTGCATCTTTTCAAGTTTGCCAATATCCTGGTCTAAACTATGGACCTGTTTGTTATATTAGAGCTCTATATTTCTCCTATTTTATTTTTTTTAATCAGAAAGTATGAACATTTAAAGGTAGGAAAGCAAAATCATCTAAACTCCTACTACTCATGGCTAATATTTTAGTATCTTTCCTTTTAGTCATATTGCATGCATTTTATTAAAGCTGCTTGAGTTACCTTTTCATGTAAAAGGTTATGTCTTCTTCTTTTTTTTTTAACTCTGTATGTTGTCATATGTATTCTCCCATGCCATTAAAAACTTAATAGAATGGGCCAGGGATTTAGCTCAGTGGTGCCACCACCTGCCTCACAAGCACAAGGTCCTGAGTTGGATCCCAACACACACACACACACACACACACACACACACACACACACACACACAAAATCTAAAACTTAATGTAACATCTTTAGGAAAATAGGTCTTTCTGTTAGAATAGTGCCTCCATAGCTGCAGGGCATATGGTCCAAGGTGATCTGCAGATGTCTGAGACTGTGGATAGTACTGATCCCATACAGCCTGTATTGATTTTACCTACAATACATATCTATGATAAAATTTAATTTATAAATTAGGCACAGTAAGAGATTAACAACAACTAATAATAAACTAGAATAATTATGTCAACTTGCTATAATAAAACTTATTTTAAAAATATAGTTATTATTTATGTCTGGAATATTCCATTTAATATTTTTAGATCATAGTTGACCTTAAGTAACTGCAACTAGGAAGAGAAATCATAGATCAGGCAGGATGACTGTATATATATGCCCACTGTGACTTGTTTAACCAGTTCCCTGTTTTTGGATATAAAATTTTCTATTTTTCAGTAAGTAACAATGAAACAGGTTTTTTGGTGCATAAAACTCTGCACATATCCTTGATTATTTTAGGTGGCCACAATTTTACTTAATATTTAGTTAAGCCCACTATAAACTTTTATTTTGTTTTGTTTTGATTTTTGAGGCAGGGTCTTTCCGTGTAGTGCAGGCTGGCCTTGAACTCACTATGTAGCCCAGGCTGGCCTCAAACATGTGACAATCTTCTTACCGCCACACCCAGCATCCCCTAGGGCTGGGATTGCAGGCATGTGCCACCACCGCACCTGGCTGCCTGCGATAAACATTTTTGACTTTACTATTTCTGTTGGATTTTGATGTAATTTATTTAGACAGTAAATGCCATCAGTTTTTTTGTGTGTTTTTTTTGTTTTTTTTTTTTTGTTTTTTGATACTGGGGATCGAACTCAGGTCCTTCTGTTTGCAAGATAGGTGGTGGAACCACTGAGCTAAATCCCCAGTCCTCCATCAGTTTTGTTTTAATCGTCCAGCTCACAAAAGTTAATTTCCAAGTCCTTGAACAGAGTAGAGGGTTGGGAGAAGGATACCTCACTGCCATATACCACTTATGACAGTAGTAACAGTGACATTATCAAGTACCTTATAATTTACCAAGCATCTCAGATCCTGCAATATATAAGAAATGTGACAACAGGAAAATTTGGCAAAAAGGCTGAGCCAGGAGAGTCATAAGTTGAAGAGAACATACATAAAGTATTGGTATAATGTATGTAGAACCTATTTATGTTATATACTTATATAGAAAATAATTTATAAATATAGAGATATGTATTTATACTAAGAGCATAAACTCACTAGACTTTAACATTGGGGAGGTGGAAAAGGAGAGAGTGGTAGGTTTTTGTAAAATCCTTATCTTCACCTCTGTGGTTCTGAATGTACAACCCTCCCAAAGAAATGCTGTCACCTAAAAATATTAGGCTACCCCACCGTGAAAGATAAAGCGATCACACAATACCACAGGGAAATAGCTACTTACAAATCCCAGGCAAGAAAAGCAGGAAACATGCAGTATTTTTCTGTGAAAACAATAATCCAAATGTTTGACAAAGCAAAAAATTAGAAAAGAAACAGTGCTATATATACTGTTTTGCCAGGCACTGGCGAACATAATTTATTGTCATAAAAATCAACTAAATGCAGTCGTTCGAACAATCCTTCCCCTTCCCCCAGCAAATAAAAAGAAGAAAATGATAGAAAACACTAACAATTAGGTGATTTTGTCTTTTAGTGGGTGATTACATCAAGATTAAAAGTGTACAGTAAGTGTTTTTACCTTTCAAGAATATCTCCGGTCTTAAGCAGTAGTTAGTTGGCTAAGACTGAACTGTTCACTTCCTTCACCCGTCTCATTTCCCAGAAACGATGAAGTAAAGATTGCTAGCACCGTCACTGGCACCATCAAGTCGTGTATTGCAAAGATGTTTAAACCAGAGGGTGGACTTCCTCTTTGAGGTCAATGCTACGTTAAAAAAAAAAAAAATCCCACAAGCAGTGACAGCTTTTGTATCATCTTTTGACATATGAACACCAGCAAAGTGGACAGGCCAGGTTCATTCCCAATTCAGTGTTTATTATTTACTTGAGCCACCCTCCAGATGTTGTGAAGTTCACAGCAATGTGACATAACCAGTGTCATCAAGGAGACTGAGAGAGGTGAGGCTGAAAAATGAAGAGCAGCAGTGCTACCAGTTACTTATAATAGCAGTGGGGAGGCTAAGTGAGTTTAGTGTTGAGATCCCTTCAGAAGGATGGTGACTCATTTATTTAAAAACATATAAAGACATAAATATACTCATTGGATGGATCCTATGTGCCAGACAGTAAGCTAGGTACTGAGCGTATTTCAAGGACCAGGGCAGAAGTGTTCTTAGTCTCGCAGAGCCTACCATCTAATTGAAAAGAGGAATGAAAAACAAATAAACAACAGACTGATGACCCTAGTGCTGTGTTCCATGAAGGCCCTGGGCCAGAAAGGAGAGTATTAAGGAAACCAAAGACAAACAATCCCCCAAGCACAGTGTGACAATCAAGGAAGTATGTGAGGTGACTCTGGGATCAGGGTGGGGAGGTGTGGGACGTGGTTAAGATGAGGTTGAAAAGGCAGGAAGAGGCCGTCCCTCAGAACTTCCATCACTATTATAAGAGAAGTGGTGTCTTTGTACTGAAGATATTTAAATGAGTGTGTCATAGTCAGATTGAAATTCTGAAAAAAATCATGAAAAGTGCAGTAGGGAGAACAGATTGCATGGCAGCCAGGAGAGTTACAAATAGAGCAGTTGAGTGATCACTGCTGTAATCCAGACTTAGGAGTAATAGTAACATGAATTAGGATGGTAGCTGTAGACAGATGGAGAGATGTGCATGAATTTGAGAGATTTTTTAGGGGAGTGGTATTAAAAACAGGGAAGATAAAAAAATCAAAGACTTTGATTAAAAAATTGCCAAAGGCTAAAAAGAAGGAAGAGGAACCAGAGAAGAAAACAATGGTAGTTCAAGATTTAGGGTAAACTGGGTGTGGTGGCACACACCTGTAATCTGAGAATTTGGAAGGTTGAGACAGGAGTATTTCTGTGACTTTGAAACCATCTTGAGCTGCATAGTGAGTTCAAAATGAGCCTGAATTGTATAGTGAATCCCTAACTCAGAAAACTGAGGGGGGGGGAGAGAGACCACAGATATCTTCACTCATGTTCCATGTTCCATATATATATGCGTACATATATAAGCATGAGAAAATGATATAGGTCCTATGTTAGAATAGCAGGAGTGGGACTCAAAGGAGAAGGGATCAGCCTACACAAGGAGAAAGGAGGCTGGGTCTCAAGGAAAACTTCTTTGAGGAGATAGTGTTTGAGTTGTGTCTTGAAAGATAAATCACATTTTTCTAAGGCGGGCAGAAGGAAAGATGTTCCATACAGAAGGGCAACATGGGCAAATGCTTGTGGCTCGTGTTTAGGGAAATTCCAGTATTTCCCCACACAGTAGGCAGTGCTACAGAGATGGAGGATGGGGTGCAGGTGGGGACTGAAAGAGGGATGGGTGGAGAGAAGGGATGGAATGAGATGAAGATGTTGTGTCTGGGGGACAAGCACCATTGCTCTGTTGTCCAAGAAACTCACCAGGATCATAACTCAGCCCCAGTAACAGATTAGAGGGACAAAGTTTACCGAAAGGAAGACACTTTGCAAAGAGAAAAAGAAAGGGGAGAAAGGGGAAGATAGATAGCTGCCCTGAGAAGAAAGAGTCGGGGGAGGAGGCCCCAGAAAGAAGGAGGACCCATGGAACCTTAGTTCTTAGCTGTTTTTATGGGGTGAGTAACTCTTTCCCCTCCACCCAGAATTTGCTATAACTGGATTGGTTTCTGGGCACCTCTGCCCAGGGTCATTTTTTTCTGCAGCTTTGTTTTTTTGTTTACTTGTCTTTGACACATCTTCTAAGGCCTTATCTTTGGGGTGGGTGGCTAGTTGACGAGAGGGCACCTTATTCTTAGTAAGGGGGCATGTGGATATCGATTGTATTCCATAATGACACTAGAGTGAAGAATACAGTGATGCTAGAGTGAATACTTACAAGTGTATGTATGCCCGTGCATAGGTATGAGTATGCACTGCGTTAGTCAGTCCTGGCTGGGGATTTAGCTCAGTGGTTCTGCTACCTGCGTTGCATGCACAAGGTCATAAATTTGATCCCTGTACCCCCCAAACAAACAAAAAATAGCTAAAAGATCTAAAGGGGCTCCTATTTTATTTTCTCTTCCTTAGACTGCTGTCCATACATTTCCCCCCTGAGAGGTTCATCCATCTGCTGTTGAGGAAATGGTTGACGACTGATCTGGCTTCTTCAAGCTGAGTGGGATCATTGTTAGGGGTAGCAGATGGGAGTCTTCAGCAGGAAGGGTGGCTGATGGACCTCAGTAAAAGGAGTCTGGCGCCTTTATTGTTGGTTCCATCTGTATGATCACTGAACGTTTGTTGGCCTCTAGGTGAGAACTGACTAACTTTACCAAGATATTAAAGCATGTATTACCAAAGCATGAGCACTAGAATGGAAAGACAGACTGGCGAAAGAGCCACGTCCAAAGAGTGTTTTTAAGGCATTAGAGTAGCAATTGTAACCAACTGACTCTGAGACCTGTTTACAGGTGTAACAGGAAACTGTCAGAGGGATCCGTGATTAAAACCCCCTTTTACGTTGAGCCTATATTATCACTATTTTGATGTGTCTTTGGTTATACTCTTTTGTTGGGTGTTTGAAACTAAGTTACAGTGTGACCTGTGTTAATCAAAATTAACCTCTTGTAATCTAATAAGGTGAGTTAAGGCTCTTTAGGCATTATTTTTAGAACCTCGTACAGAGCCTCCTTGTTCAGGAGATTGGGTGACGCACAGAGTTGTAGGATACTGTAGAAAGATCCCTTCATGTCCTGAATCTTTCACCTTGGAAGGTCAGGGCCAAAATATTGGTGCCCCTTTAGCTCAGTCCTTTTAGCTTTGGTCTCCCAAACTTCAGTTATTGAACACCTAGCAAGAGCAGATAGGTTATATCAGTGGTATAGTGGGAGCAGTTAATTTTATGATCTTATCTACTTAGTGTACAGCTTTAAGTTTGGAGAAGACAAAACCAAAGAGCCAGTTAAATATGCATGTGTGAAGTAATGAGATCAGCAAAACTATTATTAATATGGCCAACCACTGTTTTTACCAGGAAGAGCCAGTGACAGCCTTCCACAAAGAGAGTGAGGGAAAGTCTAGGGAGATTTAGAATTAAAAAAAAAAAAACATAGACACTATCCACATAGTTTATTCCTCACAGTTCTCCTGACAAAGGAACATTCAAGCACATACTGTATACACAGATAAGAAGCAACATACAAAATGTTTTAAATGATGCACAACAAAATCCAGCAGTATAAAAGAATGCATGTGGACTCTTGCTCACTGCGCAGACTAAATTTAATCAGTTGTTTAAATAGTAAGAAAAATACAATGTTTCATGGATCTTGTTCAGACTACAAAAGAGGGAAATTGTTACCATATATATATGATTTTTGTATTAGGCAGTTTTCTTTGATGAGTTGTACTGACAACTCCAAATACAGAGGCAGAAGTCTGTGCATTTTAAAGGAATTAATAATGTTGTGAATTGAAGACTTTACACAGTTACTACCACTGGCACTTTTCACCATAGTTCACACACATTACATGATCATCTTATAGAACATTACATTTAAAAATATGTCTGAGTGACGATTTTTAGGACATTCACACACCATGAGCTGGTTAAGAGGCAATTCCACAGTTGCCTTCCATAGTGCTTTGCTGTTGATAACAAGGACATTTCATTGCGGTTAAAAGAAATTAGGTATCTATATGGTTAAGCAGCTCTGATTTACTAAAGGCCGTCAATGACCCGCACTGGAGAGTGAGTTCTTTTAGAGTACAGATCCTAGAGGCGAACACCACTATTGGTTAAAACTTTGTCTAAGGAAGTCAGTTTCTCTGCTGAAAACTATTTTCACAAAACTGAAAGCTACTAACATGTTTGAATATAAATACTTTGCCTTCTTGTTACCATATTTATGACCAAGTTCTCTGAACCTTTGATTTACTCGTCTTTGTCTAAGGAAGTCAGTTTCTCTGCTGAAAACTATTTTCACAAAACTGAAAGCTACTAACATGTTTGAATATAAATACTTTGCCTTCTTGTTACCATATTTATGACCAAGTTCTCTGAACCTTTGGGATTTACTCGCGGGGATGTGTGCTCTCGCGACCGTCTCACCCACTAAGCTCTCCGCCTCCAGGCCTCGAGGCTGCGGGGATTCACCAGGGAACCAACCCTCTGCTCACCAGGACGCTTGACTGATGAACAGGGATTGAAAGCCACGCCGTGCAGATTTGGGCTGGGCGAGAATGCTCGGGACTCACTCACGCTGTGAGCGTCATTCAGGGAAGGCAGAGGACCTTTCCGAACCCTGCACATCGCCAACAATGATGCCGCTGCTATGTGTCAAGAGGACTCGTGAGGGACGCGCTCGCCCTGCCCTGCCATCTGTTCTCTGGGAAGTAGCTTGGGTCTGGGTAAGTATAACTGGTGCCCGGGGACGCGCAGTAGTCTCTGACCTATAACCAGGCTCTAGTTGGTGATCTTCCTCATGAATATCTGTTTCCTGTAGGCAGTCTGAACAAGAATCACGGAAATCCAAAGATATCTCGGGGGAACAATCCTGGCAGGGCCACCGAACACCCTGCAAACGTTCCACGCCACAGTTATCACACTTGAAGCCCACATGCTGTACAAATCCACTTTCAGCTTGCATTTGCTGAAGTTTCTGCTTCTTTAACTTTTTAGATTGTAATAGCTCTTTATATTAAGGTAAATTCCTATACATGATTGGGATAATTTTTTCACCTGACGCCTCCGGGGCCGCGGAGCCCCCGTGACTGTAGAAGCAGGGCCGGTTGTCGTCCTGGTCCATGTACACTGGCGGTTCGTGAAGTCATGAAAGTGGAAGGTTTGAAGATATGCTTATTAAAGGAATGCTGTCGTCCGCTTGTCGAAGACTTTTTGGAATATATATACAGGTTTGGTGTTCTGCCCGGAACCGGGATGCCAACTTTCATCAGTGTTATGCAATACTCTGTAATTCAGCTGGCAAACTTTTTCGCCATCCTGTTGCCCAGTTCATCTGCAATCTTCTGCCAGCATCGAGAGTCTACCTTCTTCAGTAGTGAGGGTACTCAGGAGCAGCTGTTCAAGTTTTTTCTGCTCTTCCACAGATGGTTAAATGTCTCGGGTTTGGGGTCATCACACAGCTCGCACATCATCCAAGGACGGCTGTGGGAGCCTTCTGGACCATCACTCAAGGGCAACACGGAGTACGAAAGGGACTCGGAGTTTTTGGTCTAGCAGGTAAACCTACTTCATCAAAAACTAATTTAACTCTCCTAGTATGTCTTTCATGGGTTTTAAACTCTCTCTCAAAATCCCCAGGGCTATTGGTATACTGGTCCCATACAATCTCGGGCAACTGAACAATTCTCTGTGGATGAGGAAGCCCTATATCAACCTTCTTCTGGAGTTTCTCCACAAACCTGATGGGGCCCTTCCCTTTGGTGCTCACCTAGCCTCTCGAGGTCCCGGACTACTGAGCCTCGAGGTCAGCCGTGGTCTGCAGCTGTCTCCGACAATCTTTGTTGGGTTTCAGTGCCACACAGTCTGATTCAAAGTAATAAATGACAGCATCATCATCTTCCTCTTCTGCAATGTGCTGGTTGGCTCTCTCTTTGGCAGGTGGCATAGGTCCAGTAACTGAGTCTTCCCTCTGAGGGCAGCTTGCTTAGTCCTTCGCTTCCATAGTTTTGAGAGTCATAACATAAAGCTTTTTCATTTTGAGAAATGTCACCAGGATTTGTGCGGGACTCATTTACATTATCACTAAGCAGTTGTACCTGTTTCACTGGGACTAAGATTATTCTCCTCAAATTGTCCATTCGCTCTGCAAGGAGAACTGTTTTTAGTGGGACCAGCTCAGGCAGGGCCGGCCTTGCATGGTGACACTCTAAGGGTATAGCAATGTTTTTGAGGTTCCGACAGAGACATCATCTGAGCTGAGGTGGAGCTTAGAACAGACGGCAGTTCTGCTTCTCTCGAGACTGGCACGCTCTCAAGATCTGTGTCCAAGATGTTACTGGTACTTTCATCACACCGCTCTTCTGAGGCCCTGCTATCTCCCACCACATCCACTTCCTCCTCAGAACCCCTTAAAGATGACTGGATTTCAGAAATTGGTCCTGACGCTGACTCAGTAGTCAGCTGATTAACACACTCCACAGACAGGCAGGCAGTTCCTAATTTGTGGTCCTCCAACTTGACCTGCACTTCTGAATTTGTGCAAGGCACGTTATGGTCTATATAACTTTCGTCCCTCCTGTTATCACAGAACACTGAAGCCTGGGTTTCTGAAGCCCCATTTTTCAGCTATTGATTTCTTCCACAATGCACAGGAAACAGCACTATTTTGCCTAGCATTCCCATCAGGCTGACAGTCATCACAGTTTATGTCAGCGGAATCACTGTCATCAACACTGTTGACAGTCAGATAGCCTGTGATTTCTTCAACTACTGCAGAATTAAGTGGTCCTTCCTCACTGATGTTCATCTTTCTAACTTCCCTTCTTGCACAGTCATACAGTATAAGACATTAACAAGCGTGTTTAGTCCCTCGAATATCTGCATCCTTGCCCACTCCTACCCCATTCTGTTCTACTGACTCCTGGTCTGATTCGATAGGCAAATCTTCTGAACTGTGCTTCAGATCTAAGACAACGTTTAGTTCTTTTTAAAACTGGTGATACAGATTCTGTTTGCCTTCTCTCACAAATTTCTATTGCCTGCCTTTCTAGGTTATCCTTTTCCGAAGAAGAAAGCCCTCTCTTCCTAGAGGTTACCCATGATTCTCAAGTACTCTGCTGCTTTAAATCAGTGCTTTTCCCATTATTATTTCCTTTCTGAATTTGCACAGGCTCTGGTCTCTTCTTTGGGGATCTTGATCGTACCTGAGAATGAGAAGAGAGTTCTTCAGGGTGAGCAAGGCTACGATTACTTAAAGTTCTACCACAAAAAGATTCATCCAATCTGTTTAACCCCACTGTTGACCATGTAACAGGAGTAGATCGGGAAGCCGCCATACTCTGGTATGTCTCACAATACGGTCATCGTGGTCCACTCATTGGGAAACCTGTACGACCAAAGACCTATCATTGTGGAAATATCATCTCTTTTCCTTATATCCTGAAGGAGTTGGAGCTATGTCTAGAATAGAGCTTAAGCATCAGGGTTTCAGACTCTCAGCTTCAGCCATGGAGAATACTAGAAATTTAAATTCCTTTAGCTGAGTTCCACCGGTATTGACAGGCAGTTTTCTGCAGATGTGTTTCTTAAGGCCTTTTAGGAAGTGTTTCACCTGAATTTATTTGTCATCACTGCTAATGTCCATGTTACACCGAGACTTCGGGTGTTAATTGTTCATATGGTTGTACTAATACAACTTGGTATCTTCCGCCCAGGGCTGCACACCGCCGGCTGCTCTGAGAGGAGGCGCTTCTGGTTGGGTCGAGCTTCAGAATTTGATATGGCATTAACCTGGCCTCTTACATCTTGAACAGCTGTCAGGATGTTAGCAGAATGGGCCGGGGAGGTAGCCTACCTCTCAAGTGCAAGGTCCTGAGTTAGATCCCTGGTACCAAAAAAAAGATGTTAGCAGAAGGATCAGGAGTACAATATTTAGCTTTTACAACTGCACACATTCTTCCTCATATTGCTGTTAGGATGTCTAAGACCTGCATCTCCTTAAGAAGTTGGTAAAGGGGGCCTGGCCTTTTTAGTATATCTTAGAATCTAAACTTTTAAAAACCCAGTCATCCCTAACAGGCTCTAAGCTGTTTGATATGTTTGGGAAAGTGAAATCCAGGATGAATTGGATTTTCTCTGGACTTAGTACCTTTTTGCCCTGAGAAATGAGCAGTCCTAAATGGGTGACCTGTAACTGACAGATCTGGGCCTTCTCTTACACTTTAAAACATCAGGAGGCCAGGAAGTTAAGGAGGGATTAATTCCCTCTTGTACTTGGGTCTCTTTGTTCCAGATCATCTACATACTGCGAAAGGGTGATGCCAGCTTTCTTTCTTTCTTTTTCTTTCTTTCTTTCTTTCTTTCTTTCTTTCTTTCTTTCTTTCTTTCTTTCTTTCTTTCTTTCTTTCTTTCTCTCTCTCTCTCTCTCTCTCTCTCTCTCTCTCTCTCTCTCTCTCTCATTCTAGCGGGTCTTATGGTAGGACTAGGCCAAAGCCAAAAAGATGGGGCCTATCTCACAATCCCTGGGAGAGGAACGTCTGGTCAATTGTCCCACCCACATAGTGGATTTTTAAAGAAAAGGAGATTTTGACTCTCGGACACTAAGAGAACATAAAAGAAAGCATCTCCGTGATTGAAGTTAGGAAAGCATCTGACTGAGGATGGAACCTGAGTAAATAAAGCGAGGGCTTAGTCACAACCAAATGTAGAGGCACTACAGTCTCATTAATGAGGCTTCACTTGATCTTAGCCAAAAGGCCAAGAAGTGATGAGGCTGAGGTCTTAAACCAACCTATTTATTAGGCCTCTTTCTGATAGGAGCATTATAGGGGCTGACAGCCTCTTGAAGAGTCTCCATTTAAGTAGTCCTTGGACTATAGGGTTTAGTCCTTTTTTTTTTTTTTTTTTTAAACTGATAACAATTATAAAGTTCCTTGGAGAAAACTCTGCTGGGCATAATGCCAATTTTGTCGTAAAGGCAAATAAATGTGGGTGTATAATATCCATGTTTATTCTTTAGAATGTTTCTATTGGTGAATTATTAATTTTAATTTTATGGGTTTATTATATTAATGAGTACTTAATAGGAAAAATTTTTATTTATTTATTTATTTATTTTTGGTTTTTTGAGGCAGGATCTCACACTATGTAGTGAGACTGACCTGGAACTCACTATGTAGCTCAGGTTGGTCTCGAACTCACAGAGATCCTCCTGCCTCAGCCTCCCAAGTGCTGGGATTACAGGTGTGTGCCACTATGCCCTGCAAAAATATTTAATTTTTAACATTTATTGAGCATTTATTAAAAGGCAGCAAAATCTTCAACATTGTTTTTTGGTGTCTAAAAATGTCTAAAAAGAGATCAACAGAAAAAATTCCTATATGAATTACAATAAAAATATCAATAGCATGCTACAAAGAAAATCTTTACTTCAATTATCACACCCAAGTCAGTCTTCACACATGACAATAGCATGCTCCATACACACATATTGTTTACACTGACAGCATGTGTTTTGCATTCCTGGCTTTTTTGTAGGACATACTTGACATCTTAAAGGTCTTGCTGTTTTTCCAGGTGGTTTTTATTTTATTATACAATATGTAATTA